TTTTTCTTATTTTCCTATTCTCTCCTTTTATCTACTTATAACGAATATGAAATTTTTAGATATACAATTACGATGGCATTCGAGGATAAGGACAAGAGAGATATGAATGAGAAATTGATTCGTGGCATAAAGATTCACAAAATGGCCCTACGGTTAGTATTTGATTGTATTTAGAAAAAAAGAAAAAAAAAAAAAAGAAAAGACAATTTTCATTTGACGTATAAACGAAATAAAATATCGTTGATTACAAAGATATTTAAATGATATAAATCGCCATTGGGAGTTCACGTTTCTAATTCAATGTGGATTGGTAGTATTGATCATAACCATCGATTTTTTACACGTAAGTGTTAAATAATAAATTTAACAAAAAAAAGAAAAAAAAAGAAAAAGACAAAAGAAATATGAAATTAATAATTTGTCAAGTTCAAATAAGAAGTTCCGTTATTATCCTTTTTTTAGATACTTCATTTGCATGAGTTGTCTAAGGAAACATTTTTGAACACTTGGATAGAAATAAGTTACATTATCTCCTCTATGTTATATATTTTTATTATTTTTTACGTCGGTCAAAAAGTTCAGAACGGAAGTATGAAATTTTACATAACCATGTAAGTGTATTTTTAATATTTTCTATACATATATATATATATATATATATATATATATATATATATATGTTAAAAAATCAAACTTAGTTAATATACAAATTGAATTAATTAGTATACAATTAATAATTTTTTCTACGTATTGTTGTTAATCAATCATATCAAATATATTAATCATATCATAGATTAATATATTTATCAAATAATATTATATATATTAGGTTGGAAACTATGAAACGGGCGTTGAATGAAAATAAATAACTAAACAAAAACGCCCGTTTCATAGTTTCCAACCTAATATATATCATTGAACCTATAAGATGAGATATATTATTTTTCATTTTGATAATTAACATAATTGAATGAGCAAATATTTTTCATAATTTTATAGCTGTTCGTTACCATGGTACGATTTGCCAATAAAATTTCGAAAGATACTTTTATTGTTAATATTAAAAAGTAGAAAGGAGTCTTATATATCCGTTGGTAAATCTTACAAGATGTCTTACGAGTTTTACGCTAAGGTAAGAAAATATATCTTGATAAACTATAGATTGATGAAACATGATTTATTAATCAATCGTTAAATTCATTGGAAACTTTGATATAATTCACTTTACTTTGTAGAAACTTCAATGTTTCCTGATTTCAATGTTTCAGATAGTTCGAATGGCAATGTCATATACTATGATGATCCGATCTTTGCAATGACTGTTTTCTTTTTTTTTTTTTTTTTGCAAGACATTATGGAATCCTCCTTTTACATTAATTAATTAGATAGAGAGAGAGAGAGAGAGAGAGAGAGAGAGAGAGAGAGAGAGAGAGAGAGAGAGAGAGAGAGTAAGGCAATAAATTTCTTGATTAATTTGAAGTAGATAATGCATGATGAAATTCTATGATTATTTAGAATTTTAGAAAATATTTAGAAAATATTGTTGTTAAATATATATCTTTTAGAGTAATCGATTTAGATTAGTTGTATTTTTGAGTTGACAAACGACGTTTGTGCAATAATAATCGTAAATAAAGTTTATTGATATCAATGATATTATTATTATTATCATCATTAATGTTTTATAGGACATTAATTGCAAAGATTAATTCTCGTGTTAATTTTATATTATCTCGTTTTCTTTCTTTTTCTTTTTTTCTATATTTTATATTATTTTGTTACCTCTCTTTTTCTTTCTTTTTATAATTTATTTTTATTTTCAATAATAATATATATATATATATATATATTATCTCTTTCTCTTCTTCTTCTTCTTCTTCTTTTTTTTTTTCACAGGTAAAAACATAAGCAACTGATTATCACGGTACAACGATAATCTATCAAAGCAATTAATATCAAAGTACATAAAGTTGAAAAGCACGAATAACGTGTAATACTGTATAAGTAGATAACTATAATACTCTATATTTGTAATTAAAATCATTCGAGATTACAATCGTTATATACCTTCTTTAATTAATACAATTATTAATAATAATAATGACATTGTTATATTACAATGATATAAAATTGTAATCGATTGAAATTTCCAAATGATCTTTCTCCCATGACATATGAGAAATGTTAAAAATAATCAAAAAAAAAAAAAAAAAAAAAAAAAAGAAAAAAGAAAAAAAAATAATATAAGTAATTCCTTAAGTACTATTAATCGTCATTTGTAATCAACTTTAATTCGTAATCTACAATAACACATTGGAAATCATATATTTATTTTCAAAGTTATTCGTTCGTTTCGAACGAAACGTATTTCAAAGCTAAAATCGTCTAAAAACTTTCAAGTCACACGAATCGAGGGAATAACGTGGAAATTCAAAGCGAATATATCGTTCGTCCTGGGATTAATTAACAGTCGAACTTCCACGTAAATGGTTTTCAACAATCAGCCTCAGGGCTCATTTACGTTTGAACGAAGGATAAGAGGATACACAGGGAATATCTTTGATGTGTCTGTGTGTGTGTGTGGACGCGTGAGCGGGTAGGATTTTGTTACGTGTGTATATCGGCGGCAATGAACGCGATCAAATGATCGGGAAAAGAAATCAAGCCTATATAATTTTTTTCTATTTCTTTTTTTTTTCTTTTTTTTTTTTTCTTTCCAATGTAATTAAAATTATTTTTTTCTTTTTTTTTTTTTTTCTTTTTTCTTTTTTTTTTCGTTTTTTTTTTTCCTTTTTAATACCAATTGCATAACAGGTACACTCTGCGAGAACAGTATGTACGAGAGTTTACATGTGAAAAATTAAGATGGTCGGACTTTGGGCGATGGGTGAGGAGTGGTGGAGGGGATGGTAGTAAAAAAAAAAAAAAAAAAAAAAAAACATAGGAAAGAAAAAAAGGAAAAAGCGGAAGGAGAAAAAGCAAAACGTTGTAAGTTGTGACAGGACGAAGAGAAGAGATATGAGAGAAGTCGTCGAGCATCAAGGAAGGGACGGGAAATGAATTGGTCATAACAGTGTCAGCTCAATTTCCGTTTCGTACGCTTTTGTAGCTGCTTTACCGACCATACTACGTGATATGTATGATCTCTCTCTCTCTCTCTCTCTCTCTCTCTATCTCTCTCTATCTATGCGTTTGTAGATGTGGTGGGTGTGACGCATAGTACGGCTAACATTTCGTTTCGCGCGTCCTACAAAGCTTTCCTTTTCTTTTCTTTCCATTTTAGGAAGATATACGAAAGAAATGAAAAAGAAAAAAAGAAAGAAAGAAAGAAAGAAAGAAAAGAAAAAAAAAGAGGAAATAAAACAAAATTAAACAAAGACAGAAGGAAAGGAAAAGAAGGAAGATAAAAAGAATAAGCGAAGGGAACCAAAAAAAGAAAAAAAAAAAAAAACAAAAAAAAAAAGAAATAGAAATTGAATTATCTCATCGAATTTCCTTTTTCAATTTATATAATACAAACGAGACAGTTCGTAAATTCATTAGAGAAAGAAAGAAAGAAAGAAAGAAAGAAAGAAAGGATGAATGAAAGAAAAGAAAAGAAAAAAAAGAAAAAAAAAAAGAAAAAAAATTCAAAAATGAACTCATTAATGTAGGGATATGAATCTGTCAAGCCGTCACGTGACGACGTGAGCTTAACCATAATGAAATATTTCAAAAGTTAATATTTCATAAGCTGACTCGACGCGGCTGAATTGTTAAATTAATCTTTATTCACGGGATATTATGACAAGCGAGCGTGTCAATCTTTCAATTTTCTTTTTCTTTTTTCTTTTTCTCCCCTTTCCTTTCCCTTTTTTTTTTGTTCTTCTTTCCATTCTTTTTTTTTCCTTCTTCTTCTCTTTTTTTTGTTCTTTTTTTTTTTACATAATAAGAACGTTCATTCACAAGAGAAATAATCGTCGATCTTTCGTATTAAGATCCGTGGAACAATGAAAAGACAAGAGAGAACGAGAGAGTGTTAGAGAGAGAGAGAGAGAGAGAGAGAGAGAATTAGAGAAAGAGAAAGAGAGAGAGAGAGAGAGGGAGAGAGAGAGCAATGGAAAGGGAAAGAAGGTCGATTGTTCGACAGAAGGAAAATTAATTACTTCGGGAAGTTACGAAATCGCATCGATCTTTCAACTTTGCCAAACTATTCTTAGTCTTAATTTTCATAAGCAGATTCGCGAGAGCATGCTGCGTTCGATCGAACAAATGAGTAATCGAAAAAGAGAAAAATAATATAAACTTTTAGAAAGAAATCTCAAAGAGAAACATTTGTGTGTGTGTGCGTGTGTATATGTGTATATGTGAGAAAGTGAAAGAGAGAGAGAGAGAGAGAGAGAGAGAGAGAGAGAGAGAGAGAGAGAGAGAAAGAGAGAGAGAGAGAGAGAGAAAGAGATGGATTGTCTATAAAGAATAAGAACAAAACATTATTTCTATTTTCTTCTTTCAATAATCATAATCATTTTCGATCATAATGATTTCGTTATATTTCGATATATATATATATATATATATATATATATACTTACATAAATATACATATGTATACCTAGCCATTTGCTTTGATGTGAGATATGGGAGGAAAAAAAGGAAAATATAAGGTAAACTATTTGAAAACTGAGAAGAGATTACCAGAGACGAATGGAAATATGTCTATGTTCGATAATGCGATTAAAGTGAGAGAGAGGGAGAGAGAGAGAGAGAGAGAGAGAGAGAGAGAGGGTGGGAGGAAAGAGGGTGGAGTAGGAGAAAGGGTGGAGACGATGATGGTAAAATAGAACGCGCGAGAGGGTGGTTATGGTAGAGAGGGAGAGTCTAGCGTTAAGAAGAAAATCTCCTCTCTTGGTAAAGGGAGGAAGAGCGAAATATTTCCGCAAGAATTTCCGCAAGACGAATGCTTGCGTGCCTCTAACGTTTTCACGTTTTTCACGGAGCTTACTATGGAAATTCAAAATCTGTCCTCACGATTTGCTCGCGTGCAAATCGTCTTACGTGATTTCGGTTTTACGATGGGGAAAGAAAAAAGGAAAGGAGAAGAAGAAGAACTGAGGTAAAACGGAGGACGAGGAGGAGGCCGGGGAGGGGGATTGGCGCCGGGTGAGGGGAGGGGGTAAGAGGAGAGAAAAAAGAAGAGGAAGTTGAAGAAGTTTTGAAGAAGTAGGTACTTCTTATACGAAATAAATTCTACCTTTTCTTTCCGTCTCTCTTTCTCTCTCTCTTTCTCTTTCTCTCTCTCTCTCTCTCTCTCTCTTTCCCTTTCTCTTTTTCTCGTTGTCATTATTATTATCTACGAAAATAAAACTTATAATATGTGAGTTATCTCACTAACGAGTAAAATTTAGAAGCGATAAAGAAAAAGAAAAAAAGGAAAAAATAAAAAAAAAAAAAAAAAAAGAAAATAGAAAAAAAAAGAGGAATTAGAAATAAATTCAGTCTCGTTAAATCGACTTAAGATTATAATACATATACATACGGATATTAGATACGATTTAAATCGCATAAAAACTTCAAAGAGTCCAAGGAAGGGACTTGAATTGTTGAAACGATAAAATGTTATGAGATAAATTAGAGATGTTAAATTCCTTACTTTTGGAAAAGAATTGTGTCAGATCATTTTCAAAATCATTGCTCCATAAAGAGAATAGAAATCCTATCGACTTTTCCATCTTTCTCTCTCTCTCTCTCTCTCTCTCTCTCTCTCTCTCTTTCTCTTTCTCTCTATCTACCTATTTCTCTCTTTCTCTTTCTTTTTCTTTTCCTAGGTTAACTAGAGAGATAGAAAGAGGAACAGAGAGAGAGAGAGAGAGAGAGAGAGAGAGAGAGAGAGAGAGAGAGACAGAGGGAGATAGAGAGAGAATGAGAGAGAGAGAGAGAGAGAGAGAGAGAGAGAGAGTGTGTCCCAGATCAGAAGAGAAGCTTTAAAATCAAGTCACCTAACACGTCACGATCGAAGGATCACAATCTAATTAAAAGCACCTTATTGGACGTGGTCAGTCAATCGCAAAGAAAGAATCTTCACGGTGGGATAAGTTAAACCTCTCTTTTGGCACGCATTCGAGTCTATTTCCTTTTCTTTTTATCTTTTTAAGATTTTCCCTAGGGGATACTATCTCCCTTTATCTTCTTTATCCATGCTTCAAGTTTTATTTTTATTTATTTTTTTCTTTCTTTCTTTCTTTCTTTCTTGAAGAGCAGGCACGTTCGAGAGAAGAGGAGAGGAGTCGCTTGTATAATTCATGGGACCGCTTGACGTTCGTGGTTGGTTTGGTCCACCTTACCCTATTCACCCTCATCCTCATCC